AATAATCCTTTAAGTATATTTTATAATTTACATTTATCATAGGCTAATAATAAAAATAAAATACTTTTAACAATATAAACTACATTTTACTTTACATAAATTTTTTATATAATAATTATAATAATAACAATAATAATTAAAATTACTTTAAAGGGGTCATATGATGCTTTTTTAAAGATCATTATTTCTTCTTTATGCACTAAGAGCTTGTAACACTCCAAAGAGAAAGGAAAACTTGAAATCGCATCATATGACCCCTTTAACAATATTCTTAAAATTATGATACAATTACTTTTAAATACATCAATAATCCTGTGAAGTGAAGTATATAAGTTTTATATAAGTATTAAAATAAATGTACTGTATACTACTAATAATAATAGCACTGCCAGGTTTACCTGAACCTCTGTGGTCTTGTGTCTGATCGCCTCCTCCGCTTCTCTGATGTCTTGTTCCAAAGTGTATTTCTCTCTATTGAAATAATAAAACAAGAGACACAAAATCTTTTATCAACTGTTGGCAACTTGATAATATCCCTCATACCTGCCTCCTTCACACACAAAGTCTGTCACACACACAAAACAAAAACCTTGACAGTCAAGAGAAGGTTTTACCTGAGTGTATCCCAGTGTGTGAAAGCAAGAGTGCTGAGGCAGCATGAATAAGCAAGTGAAACAAGAGATTTCGTAAAGGAAACAAACACGTTAAACGGACACTGTGAAGAGGGGAAGGAGGTGAGATGAGGAGAGGGAAACTCATCCACCGCCAAGAGCTCTCGGGTACCTTTCCTCTTTCTTTGAAGGGTGCGTGTTAGCATGAGAGTCAGTTCAGGGTCATCTATAAGGCAACTGTTCAGAAAAGGACAAATATGCTAGACTTGGTGGGGTGAGCCAACGAGAAAAATGGACAACAGGAGGCAGCAAAATCCGGGCAAAAAAATCTGCACCTCCACAAAATAAAACAAAAACTGAAACTGCATCAATTTTTTTTACATTTAAAAAAATGTCCACACTGAAAAGCATTTTGTTTACAATGCACAATTACTAGTTAAATATCTTTAAAAACAACAACAAAAAAAAACACTTTTTTTTTTTTGCAGTACCTCAGAGAAATAGTTAAAAATACTGTTTGCTGTCTGTTGTGTTTATTTTTCTGAGTATGATTCAGAAGAATTCAGAAGAATTAAGAGAACTAGAAGGGATTTACATAGCAACATTTCTACGCATGGACAAACAGTTTAAACAAATTAAAACACTTTGCATGATTGTTTTCACAAATTCAACAACACTTAAAGAAATCTAAATATTTGAACACTTTTAAAATACTTTTATAATATATTTATCAAAAAATTATAATAAAAATAAACATTTAAACATGTATTATATTAACAATACATTTCTTTAATATATTGTTAAAATATATATATATTTACATAGTTTTATACGTTTTTTAAATATTTTGAAATAGCTTTTTTGTATTTTCGGTTTTATTTTTTTTAAAGGTCAAGTAATTTTGTTGTGCTTTTGACATTTTATTCGTTTTTTAAGAATATGTCTATATAGTTTATATTCATTTGAATTTCAGTTTTACTTTTAGCTATACTATTACATCAAGTTAAACTACATAAAAAATTTGAAATATTGCTTAGGCAACTAGGTGAAATAAAACAAGTTTTTTTTTTTTTTTTTTTTTTTTTTTATGGTTTTGGTTTTAGTTTACTATAATAACCATGGTACACACAGTATCATTCAAATTTTTGCATAAAGCAGATACGTGCTTTCAGTATTTCTCAGGATTCTTTGATGAATATAAAGTGAAATTTCTATTTGAAATAGATTTTTTGTGACATTACATTATGTCTGTATGGTCACTTTTAATCAATTTAATGAGTCCTTGCTGAAATAACTTCTAATTTCTTAAAAAAAAAAAAAGTTGTGTGTGTGTGTATCATTATTAAATTCATTAAATTAAAGCTGCAGTCCGTAAATTTTGCCTCTTTGTCGCCATCTCTGTTTGAAAACCTGCAATTGCAGCTGTGTGCGGAATTATCTTCCTTGTGTGGGTTGTGCGGCGGCCCGGCTCCAGCGCGGATGAATCTAATGTTTTGAGGAGTATGTGTGGCAGTCAGTCACCGCACCGGTGTGAATATTGTACTTTACACTCACAGATTCTAGACTACGT